ACCTTCCACATTCATTGTTGTGTCCCAGCCCGAGACCTTTCCATGCCAGCACACAGTGAGCCTGCCCTTTGTTAGATCCGCACAGCTGTCCATTGTGTAGGAGGCCCCCTGTCAGATTTGCCCCAGGAATTGGGAGTTGTGGGAGTGAAGACCATCAGGGAGAGGATTAGAACCACCCCACTCCTGCTTTGGCTGTGGTCTGTGAAGAGGGGGCACAGGCGGGTGGCCCCAGGTTGCTCACCTGCCCTTTTGAGTCTCCTTTTGACCTGCAGAAACAAAAAGGCATGTCGGGGCAGAGAGTAGTGTTAGGGACGGTGTTAATTGTTCCCCGTATGCGATCTGCCTTCTCTCCTTCTGGAATCCCAGTATGGAGAAAGTGAGGAGCCAATGGGAGATGAGGACTATGACGAATATTCCAAGGAGCTGAACCAGTACCGCCGGTCCAAGGATGGCCGAGGACGAGGTGGGCAGGGGGCCCAGGAGGTGATGAGTTGCGGGGGGGAATCACTCCTTCCAGCAGCTGCTGGATTTGGGTCCTGGGGAGAAGCAGCAGGTGAATGCCATCTCTCTCCTCTGCAGGGTTAAGTCGAGGCCGTGGCCGGGGTTCCCGAGGTCGAGGGAAAGGAATGGGCCGGGGTCGTGGGCGAGGTGGCAGCCGAGGAGGAATGAACAAGGGCGGAATGAACGATGACGAAGACTTCTATGATGAGGACATGGGCGTGAGTTGACTCTTCATTTGGATCTAATGTTTAGCCAAGGCCTCCTTGGATTTTTTTTTCCTCGAATGAGTTGGCCTCAGAGGCCAGTCCTGGCCTCCTGCTTCCGTCAGCTGTTCTCCATGGGCTGATGAGTACTACTCCTCTCTTATGGGGAGGGGGCTGTGCTGCTGGTGAGACCCTGTTTTTAAAATCACATCTACGTAGCACCTGAGTCTCTGGAGGGGAAGGTTCCAGGTGACCCAGGTAGCCTGGAGAGTTTTATAGGAAGGCACGCATACTGCGTCTAGGAGGTGAATGTGTTCCCGCACCGGTGTGTGGTGCTCTTCAGGTGCCAGCACTCCATACCACGGGGCTCAGACCCCGCACAGCCTCGGTGGTGGAGGTAACCTGCTGTTCGCTGCTCCTGTTGGTGAAGACACTTCTGTCGAGGGAATGCTCGTCCCCGCCATCCACCTTCTGTTCCTGTCAATCCCTTAGAACCTGTCTCTACCAGTCTGCATCGTTCCCCCCCCCCCAACCCTTCCTTTTCATCCCCCTTTACGCTCACATTCTGTGTTCCTAACAGGACGGTGGCGGGAGCTACCGGAGGAGTGACCATGACAAGCCCCACCAGCAGTCTGACAAGAAAGGCAAAGTCATCTGCAAATACTTCGTGGAGGGGCGGTGTACGTGGGTAAGGGGCAAGTTAAAGTACCTGGGTGCTGGAGCAGGGCAGCAACCTCACAGAGGATGCTCGGGCCTCTGGGAATGTTCTAGAGACCACACTAACTGGGGGCAGTGGTCAGGTAAGGGTGGAAGTGATTGACTACCAAGAGATGGTTGGGAAGACTCCGGTCTTTTCTCAAGACTAAGGAGCCAGAACATGATGACACGTCTGGGTGGTTTTTTGATGTTTTTGTTGGTTTGGGGGGCCAAAATTATCAGCCAGTCCAAATGGCCTCAAATGTATTAAGATTGATACTGATACCAAAGATGTAATATGTCTTGGTTAAGTTATCGAACTTTAATGTTGGAGAGGGAATGATTAAGCTCTCCGTGTAGTAGAGGTGGGAGAATCAGGCCAGCCTTGAATTTCACAGCAGAGTTCAATACCAGAAGCTGGGCCGATGACCACAGAGTTCTGAGGGCATAACCCGGTGGGAGTTCAGCCAGCCAGCTGAATTGGATTTTTTATTCAAGTACGATGGCAGTGGACGGATTCTGGCACACACATGCCCAGGGAATACTGTACCCGGGTATAGGCCTTAGAAAAAAATACGTATGTGAAACAAACGTATGCACATATAAGATGCTCCTCGTTATAGTCTCAGTTTGTGTTATTTTAAGAAGTTTGTGATACATCGGAAGAAAGATGAGCAGCCGTTCCTGAGAGTAAGGGGAAACAGCTATACAGAACAGTTTCTATATTGATCATCCGGGTTTGTGTCCTGAGTGTGTCTGACTTAGGATGATAGAAAATTGAGTTCCACCAGTGTAAACACTCAGACGTTGTTCCTCTGAAGGAGGTTGGTGCCCTGGTCACTGGCACTCTGGGGAACTTCCTACTTTTAAGAATGTCCGCCGTCTCTGAGCACGTGGCTTTTGTCCTCATGGTTCCATAGTGGCTGCTGTGCCTCTGGGCATCCCATCTAAAGGCTAAGAGGAAGGATGGGCGAAGGGATTTTTTCTCAGGCAGCATTGTCCTCCCTTGGGAACTTTGGCCTACATTTCATTGGCCAGGACTTCCCGGGAGGCTGGGGAATGTACCTCTCCAGCTGGGCACGTTCTTCCCAAACAAAATGGAGGCTGTGTCAGGAAGAAAGAAGCATGGGGTTGGATACTGGCCAGTATGCGGCACCTGGTGAAAAATAGTGGGTGAGAGGAGGGAGAAGGGGGAGAGTAAGAGAGAAGTGCTCAGGGGCAGTGCGTGGAGCCTGGAGGACTGGGGTCGTGGGCAGGGACGGCAGGGACCAAGAGAAGGGAGCGCACAACCTGTCAGAACTTTCCAGTTGGTGGGAAACTATGTCAGTGAGCCCCACCCTTCCCTGTGGGGTATTCGTTTCTGTCATTGGTCCTCTGTGCTTCAGCCAGGGCAGAGTAGTGCCTCCCATTGCAGGTGGGCATCAGGGAGGGCTTACTGGGCCCCACCCCCTTACCTTTTCCTTGCTTCTCTTCCAGGGAGACCACTGTAATTTCAGCCACGACATCGAGCTACCAAAGAAGCGAGAACTGTGCAAGTTTTACATCACCGGGTTCTGTGCCAGAGCGGAGAACTGCCCCTACATGCATGATATCCTTTGGCGCTCATCTCTGGTAGGGTGCAGGGCTCTCGCCTCTTCCCCCCTCCCTGCCGGCAGCGGCTGACCTTTGCTGCGTGCGCGCTCCCTGTGCCAGCGCTGGGCCGAGGTTTGGGCGTGTCTCGGTCTCCTTGAACCCTTACGTCTGTCTTGTGGCAGAGCCACTGTCCCTGTCCTGAAGATGAGGAAGCGGAGGAAGTGGACGCACAAACGGCCCGTGACTTCTTTATACAGACTCTCAAGACTAGCCGTACCCCTTGTCTGTTACCTTCTGAGACTTTTCCAGTGGGCTGTCTAATCTTGGGCACATCATTGACCTTTACTATTCCTGCTGAGTGAGGATCTGTAGACAGCAGGCCCCACAGCCAGTGTGGTGGGGCGGGAAGCCCTCCAGGGTAGGAGTCTAGGAGTCTCGAGCACCGGGGTCTCAACTCGGGTCTGCTGCCATCCCACTGTGCAACCCCAAGCCGCGCACTTTACCTCTCTGGGTTTCCATGTCTTCATCACCAAGACAAAGGGGGTTGGATTCTGCCCTGTGTGGGGGAAGGGTTGGGGTCTAGGAGCCGATGCTTTTGCCTTAACATGCCTTGAACGTGATTTTCCCTGTAAGTTGTACCACACGACCGGGAACTGCATTAATGGTGATGACTGCATGTTCTCCCATGACCCCCTGACCGAGGAGACCAGAGAGCTCTTGGATAAGGTAATGTTGGCGGGAACACGGGGCCACACAGCTGCCTCCAGGAGAGCCAGTGGGCGTGCCTGCCCTTGACCTGGCGTGACCACCTGTCCGCCTGGCTTTTGTGTGGGACCAGACTTCCCACCTGCCTTGATCGGGAGCTGGGCTGTTTTAGGGAGGGAGGAAGGGCTGCATTCTTTTCTGCAGGGAGAATTGAGGTCCTCATGCCTGTATCTTCTCTCCGGCCAGGGGCCAGGGCAGTTTTCACGGGGCGGGGGCGGGGGTGGGGGGTAGGGAGAGGATGCTACATAAAAGGAATGCTGCCTGCAACCAAGGTAGCTATCTTTTAGAGAGCCCATGACGCACAGGGAGGAGGATGAGATTTGGGTGGGTTGTATTTTGATGGAAATGTCAAACGTTTCCTCCCCAGGCTTAAGGATTCTATGACAGGGAGATTGGAGGTTCTCTGGAGGGAGAGATCTCTCCGGTACAATGTGAGGCCTTCCTATCCAGTCGGCTCGAAACTCATCCTGGTATCTGTCGTTTTTCCTGAAGAGTCGTGAGGACTCCGGGGGCTCCCAGTTCTTGTCCTCGGGTTCCTAACATACATGCAGGGGAACCGGTGAGAGAACATGGGTCCTTCCAGATGAAGGCTTTCTGCCTTCTGGTGCACAGAAGGTTTGAGGCATTGGCCGGTGTTTTGAGAATGGCAAGGATTGAATCTGTGAGTAGCACATGGGGCAGTTTTGGGAGTCCGTCAGTGACTGCCCTGTTTCAGCTGTGGCCCAGGCCACCCTGGGGGTCAGGGGGAAGCCCTGCACAGGCAGAGTGAGAAAAGACTTGCTGCTCATTTGCAATGCAGTGGGAAACATTGTTCTCTTACCAGGCCCTCTGGGGAACTTAGTGCCCTAGGAATAGGATTTCCTATCTAGTAGATCTCTAGAGTCTGGTGATCTGACGGGGTAGAGAGGGGGAAGGTTGTGGCTTCCTTTCTCACATGGAGAGCCGAACAGTAGCTGGCTGAGCACTGCCCCCTGCTGGAAGTTTAGAGTTGGCGTTCTAAACCAGTGCCGTCCAAGTAGGAACACAGCCAAGCCACGTATGTGATTTAAATTTTTTAGTAGCTTCGTTAAAGTAGGAAAAAACCAACGAAATTTAGTTCAAGCAGTGTATGTTATTTAATCTGGTGTGTCCGTGTTCAAAGTATTATTTCAGCAAGTAATAATGAAAAATTAAGACATTTTGTATTATTATTATTACTATTTTTGTTACTGTGTTTTTGGAATCTGGTGCTAATTTTCTACTTAGAGCCCATATCATTTGGACTGGCTGCAGTTCGAGCGTCAGTAGCCACACGTGGCCAGTGACCACCACCTTGGTCAGCCCAGCTCTAGATGCTCTTGTAAAAACCCAAAGCAAACCAGAATGGCACATTTCAGCTTCCAGTTATAAATGTTTTTAAAGCATTAGTATTCTCCCTGATCTAAAAGCAAGTCTCAGTAGGTGAAAAATGAGTGTTGAACCTGGAAGAAAACCATACCAGAATTGAATCTCGGTGGTCAGAAAGGGAAACGGAGGATACATTCTGAGAAGGACCTAGGTTAACCCTGATGAAGGCATCCGGTCAGCCCTCATGCTGCAGCTTGTCAGCCAGGCTTGGGGCTTCGGGGCGGCCCCTGGGTGCAGGCTGTGATGCCACTGACCCCTGGGCCTTGGCCACCCTCTCCCGAAAAGTCTGTCTCTTCTTCCTTCCTTCCTTCCTTCAGCTCTTTTTTCCCACTTTGCAGAGACATTTCTGTCTGTGCACATGTTGGTTTCCAGCCATCCATTCTAGGTTTGGAAGCGTGTTTGCTTCTCCACCCAGAGTCATCTGTTAGCATTTTGCCCTATTTGCTTTGTTACGTCCTCTCATTTTATTTTACATATGCGTGTGCGTTTTTTTTCCCTTGAACTTTGAGAGTCAGTTGCACACATTTTGGTTCTTTACTCTTAAATCTTCCCTTACACTTTTCTTTTTTATAGTCAGGTTTGTCAAGGTATGGTTTGTATCTAGTAAAATTCCCCGTTTAATGTAAAGTTCTGTGAGTTTGACAAACAGAGTCTTGTAGGCACCCCAACATCTAGATGGAGGAAATTCACTCCTCCATCACCCCCAAAACTCTGTGCCCCTATAGAGTCAACGCCTCCCCATTCTCTAGCCTCCACAAGCACTGACCCGTTTTCTGTCCCTATAGTTTGCATTTTCAAGAATGTTCTGTGAGTAGGTTTATACAGTATATAGCCTTTTTTTTTTTTAAGGTTTTAATTTTTTATTTGTCTGTCAGAGAGAGAGAAAGTGAGCACAAGCAGAGGGAGCAGCAGGCTCCCCGCTGAGTAAGGAGCCTGATGTGGGGCTCGATCCCAGGACCCTGGGACTATATATAACCTGAGGCGAAGGCAGACGCTTAACCGTCTGAGCCACCCAGGTGGCCCTACAGTATGTAGCTTTTTAAACATATGTGTGTGTATGTAATCTTCGGAGTCTGAGTTTTTTTGTGTGCCATAACTCATTTAGAACTCACGTTGTTGAGAGCAGTTCATAGCTGTTTGCTGCTGAGTAGTACTCTGTTGTGTGGATGATCTAAGTTTGTCTAGTTACCAGATGAAGAAGATCTGGATTGTTTCCAGTTTAGGGCAGAAACAGGATTTTTAGCCAACTGATACACACGGATCTCTTTAGCCTGATGAGTCTTGGCTCATGTGCCTTTGCGTGTCTGCAGGTGTTGACAGTCCTTTTCTGCTGAGAGGTCGCCTTGGCTTTTGGAAACTTTGGGCATCAGTCAGGATCCGTCCTGGTAGAGGAGGGCCCTGGTTGTCTCATCTGATGAGAGGGAACAGGGAGCGTTTGTCCTCGCGGGTGGAGAGGCCCGGGAACGGATTAACGGGAGGTCTGGAGCAGACATGCCCCTCTCCGAGTCTCTGGGCAAGGGCTGCACAGACAGTTTGGGTTCAGCTTTTCTGGTGGGAATGATGTTTTAATGTGTTTCACGTGTCACTGTCTTGACCTCAAACGCGGGTCAGTCTCTGCTCTCACAGTGACACCGTGGCCCAAGGCGGAAGGTGGTGGGTAAGGAGGTGAGCTCGGGGAGCTGGTCTGGGTCCTGAGCTGGGGTCTGAGTGAGGGATGAGGCAAGCGAAGTCCTGGGGGTGGGGGCGTGTCCTCCCTCTAGCCAGCAGGCTGTGTGTGCAGAGACTCCTGCCGGGCATGGGCAGGGCCCACTGGAGGTCAGAGCTTGGGGGGGGGTGGCGCACTCACCGGGCGGCGGCAGCACTTACCGAGAGCAGCCCGTGGGTGAGAGCTCCGGTTGTCCCGTTAATCGTGCGTTTGTTAAGTGCCCAGTGTGTGCTGGCAAACCGCAGCGACCACATCACCGTAGCCTCGCTCCCCAGGGCTGGTGGTCTAAAGGGGAAAGGGACATTGGCTGAGGTGTTTCCGGCTGGTGGGTGCTACAGAGAAGCCTGGTCACGACAGGCAGGCCTGGTCTCGGAGGCCAGCAGGGGCAGGTGTCAGGAGGCCCCCTGAAGGAAGAGCCCCACCCCAGGGCAGCAGAGGAGGTCACACTGGTAGGCGGGATGGAGCGGGGCCTTCTGGGTGTGAGGTTGGGAGGCGAAGTGAGTGTGGCCCTTTCAGTGGCCAGAGCTGCCGCCCCCTCCACAGCAGGGGAGGAAGTTGTGGTCAAGGTTGTTCCTGTTTAATGAGGTGTATAACCTTGTTAGGTTTTGCCTTCTACCTGAGGGCATCAAGTTGCTGTTGTTGGAAGGATCTAGTGGTGCAGAGGCGTGGCCGTGTTTGTGATTGATGTTTGCTCTGTGGGTGCTCAGAGAGTGGTGGGAGAGACTAGGGACTACCTGGGGAGGCAAGGGCAGAGTCCCGGCCAGAGGTAGCAGGGCCCAGGATGGAGGGTGAGGTCGTGGAGGGCAGGTGAGGCACTCAGGAGGTCCAGGGAGTAGCTTGGGAACAGTGTGTGGGAGTGGGACCCTGATCCTGGCTTGGGGCTCGGTAAGTAGAGGGGCCATCATTCACAAGACCCCCCCCCCCCTTATGGCCGGGGGAGGAGGAGAAGGCACGTGGACTGAAGCGTGACAGGGCAGAGCGGCTTTGCAGATAGATGGGTCTGGGCGCCTCCACTCAGAGCTGGCAGTAACTGAAGGCTTGAGGGTGGGCGGGTCCTCGGGGCCTGGGAGGGGGAGGCCAAGGCGAGGCAGTGTGCAGAGGAGACCCCTTCCCTGCCTCGAGAAGAACACCAAATAGCAGAGCCAGGCTAGCCAAAGACTTGACTCTTTGTGCCCCCAGGTGCCCCGACCCCCTCACCTCTCCCATCCTCCTCTGTCCTGATATTAAAGAGCGAGCCCTGTTCTCTGGAGTCCAGGGAATGCAGAGGGAGATGCATTTGTTTGTCTTCTTTGCTCGCTGATCGAGCAAATGTGTGGCAGTGCCTAGCTTCTGCCGGGCACTGTCCTGGGCATTGGGGATGCAGTGGTGTGGAGATGAATCCAGTCCCCCGGCAGATCCTGATTACGCACTAGGATTGGGGTGCTGGCGGGAACATGCAGGGAGCCCAGAGGCACTCTGACAGGTTGACTTTCAGAGGCTCCGTGAGGAGGTGACCCCTGACCAGCCCCTAGGGTGAGTGACAGGAAGTAAAGAGAGAAGCACGTGCTGAACAAGGGTGTCGGTCCCAGCAGCAGCTGCATGCCCGGGTGAGGAACCGGAAGGGGCCGAGGGGCCAGTTCGCTGGGCAGGAAGCGAGCAGAACATGGGGGCAGGGTGGCACACGGGGCCTGCGCCTGCTTGGCTCCCCACTGAGAGCAGTGCTAAAAGACACTGCTGGTTCCGCAGTGTTTCCCACACAGCTCTAGGCATGTGTTAAGTGTGGTTCCAGTTCAGTAGGTGCCTCTGTGCTCCTGGTTCACACTCAGACTGCACCTGGAGTAGCAGGGCTCTAAGGGACAAAGGTTTCTGTTGATCGATTGTCGAAGTATTCTAGCACTCTTGGACCCTGCTGTCCCTGGGTGCAGATACTGTTCCTGACGGTGAGGAGAGAGAAAAGCCGGGAACCACCTGACTCCCTCCTAGAGGCCCCACCACCTGCACTCCCACCATCCCTGGGTGCAGGAGCAGTGGTGTGGTCTTGTCTAGTGCTGAGGCTGAGATGCTAGGGCTGGGACATCTCCAAGCCCCAGGTTAGGATGCACTAAGGTGTCTTTGCTGAGGTCCCTATGACCCAGGCCCAGTTCGATGGCCTGGGACCAAGCGGGTAGCCACCATGGGCAAAGGCTGGAGAAACCAGGCACCATCTTCCTAGAGTCCTCACCCCATGCAGTCACGAGGGCTGTGCTTAATTCTTCAGGTTGTGACAGCACTTGAGGAATGTCCTCGACTGGGGATGCGTGTTGGAGGCTTGGTCAATGCCCACGGTGGCGCCTCTGCCTGGCATGTACCAAAATTCCAGAATCCCAGAAGGAGTTACGGTGTGTGTCAGCAGAAAGCGCATTGTTTGTATAAACAGTTTAGTTCCAGTGAGCACCTCTTATTAGGGAATACTAGGGGGCCCCTCCCCCTGAAATCCAGGTTCCCAGACACCAGCCCCAGACCAAGGTTGCAAGCAGTCCTTCCAAAAAAAGCAGTCAAGACTGCTGTGTTAACTTTTCTGCGCGGGATCCTAATTGGTGAGACATTCTGCTTGAATAGTTCATCTGCCCTGTATCCTGCTCCGTGCTGGGCCCCAGGCACGAAATAGTCCTGCCCTTACAGCGTTGACAGCCATTGGGTGAACCAGGAATCAACTGGAACACAGCTACACGTAAAATCTTACAGAGCTCGGGCAGTGCTTTGAAGGGTGTTGATAGTATTCCATCAGTGAACACAGGAGATCAGGACAGTCACACTGAGTTGACCTTTAGTAAGAGATCCCACCATTTGGGGGACACAGAGCCACTGTTAGGAATAGAGGGAAAGACAGACACCCAGGAAGAAAGCTGGTCCCAACTCGGGCGCCGCAGGGGAGGGAGCTCAGCTGTCCATGGGCCTGGCACGGGGCTGGGTCCTCAGGGTCGAGGAGTCCCGGGTGCCATGGAAACAACTGAAGCCAAGTGCTGCAGCCCTGTCCTCTCCAGACACCCAGCCCTGCCTGTCAGGCCCTGCGGCTCAGGGTAAGAATTCAGGGTCTGATTACAAGTGTCGTGAGAGGCCCTTACAATCCAAACAGGACAGTGGCATATTGGTCAGCCGGGAAATAGGCAGCAACATGCTACAGGCCCCGTAAACCTGGCAAGCATGCTGAGTGAAAGAAGCCAGTCACAAAAGGCCCCACGGCGTGTGCTGCTGCTTGCGTGAACTGTCCAGAACAGGCAGATCGTGGAGATGGCAAGCAGATGAGTGGTTGCCAGGGTCTGGGGGAGGGGGAGTGACGGCTAACGGGTATGGGGCCTTCTTTTGGGGTGATGGGAAAGTTCTGGAACTAGGTCCAGGTGGTGGTTGTATAAGCTCATGACTGTACTTAATACCATTGAATTGCTTAGAAGGGGGAAGCTGTACCTTTCGTGTTACGTGTGTTTTGCTGCAAACAGGAGTGCCCCCCCCCGCCAGAGGGTCACAGAGTGGATGCGGCAGCCGCGTGGGATGCTGATTTTTGTGCCAAAGAGGCTTTGTGCTCCTTGCCTTTATGCTTGTGTTTTGGGGTTTTCCTCAGAACATTCGTCTCCCCGTGTGGGAAGCGCCTTCCCTGACTCCCCCCGGCCCTCTCTCTCTCTCTCTTCTCACCCGCAGATGTTGGCTGACGATGCAGAAGCGGGCGCCGAGGATGAGAAGGAAGTGGAGGAACTGAAGAAGCAGGGCATCAACCCCCTGCCCAAGCCACCCCCGGGCGTGGGCCTCCTGCCCACCCCTCCTCGGCCCCCCGGCCCCCCGGCCCCGACCTCTCCCAATGGCAGGCCCATGCAGGGCGGCCCCCCGCCCCCGCCCCCGCCCCCGCCCCCACCCCCCGGGCCCCCCCAGATGCCTATGCCAGTGCACGAGCCACTGTCGCCCCAGCAGCTGCAGCAGCAGCAAGACATGTACAACAAGAAGATCCCCTCCTTGTTTGAGATCGTGGTGCGGCCCACGGGCCAGCTGGCTGAGAAGCTGGGCGTGAGGTGAGTGCCCGGGGCCCCCAGAGTCAGGCTGCTGGAGCGGCTCTGGCCTTAGCCAGGCTGCCCTATGCCAGGGGCCTGTCATCGTGAACCTGGTCTGGAGCCCTCAGGGACCAACCACGTGGACACGTCCGTGTCTCCTCAACGGCGTGGCCGCCATTCTTGCTCTGCAGCCCCTCTCATGGGCACCATTTCTTCCTCCTAGGTTCCCTGGACCCGGAGGACCCCCGGGGCCAATGGGCCCTGGGCCCAATATGGGCCCCCCGGGGCCAATGGGGGGCCCAATGCATCCTGACATGCATCCTGACATGCATCCCGACATGCACCCGGACATGCACCCCGACATGCACCCTGACATGCCGATGGGCCCTGGCATGAACCCTGGCCCGCCCATGGGACCCGGTGGCCCCCCAATGATGCCCTATGGTCCTGGAGACTCCCCACATTCTGGAATGATGCCCCCCATCCCGCCATCCCAGAACTTCTATGAAAACTTTTACCAGCAGCAGGAGGGCATGGAGATGGAGCCAGGACTCATTGGGGACGCAGGTACGCAGGCCGGGGTTGGGGGGCTGGGGGGGGGCCGCTGCGGGTGGCACTGGGGAACGTAGGGAAAACTTGGGTTTTCTCCTCTGTCCAAGTCTTTGCAGAGCATGAATCCAATTCCATCTCTGTCCCGTGAGTGGTTGCACATTTTCAGTGATGGGGGGGGTTCACTACCCTGTTGAGGTTGAAAGGAGTCTCATGATATCAGTGTAATTTATTTAACGTTTTACACATTTTGCTGGGTGCGCCTGGAATCGGGACCATGGGAAGTCAGAGGGGTGGGTGTAGAGTGGTGTTGGACTCTGAGGCGGAGGCACCCTCTCCAGAGCCGCCTCCTTCCAGACGGTTCTCGGCTTGGAGCTGCCGGTGTAGGCCTTGTGCCTCTGCTTGTTTTGTCCCCACAACCGACCGTCTTCCTTCCTTCTTTCCTTCCTTCCTTCCTTACGCAAACGAGAAGGTGTGTTGGCAACGACTCAGACGGGTGCCGGTCAGGGGGGTCGGCCGACTATGCCGCCGCCGGGGAGGTCCTGTGCGGCCTCGGGGAGGGGGCGGTGCGCCCGCTGCTGCCACGGGGCTGCCGTGGTCCTCGCCTCAGCCACATTGTAGTTGAGGGAACCAGACGGAAGCGCAGAAGTGAGCGCGTAAGCTCATTTCAGCACTGATCATTTCTCGAGGAAGTCAGGCGGAGTGCTCGTGGCAAGAGGGTCGGTGCCCCAGGGGGACAGTCAGCAGTGGCCTCCTTGAGAAGGGCTGGGAAGGGGCGGAGGCCGAGGTGCAGAGCCCCCCGCCCGGCGGCTCGGGTGAGAAAGACAGAGGCGGCTGCGTGGCATGGAGAGGGCGGGCGGGGGAGAGGAGTCCCTGCGTGGGGCTTGAACAGCCCCGGCGAGGTGGCCGCGTGGGAGGAACGGTTGGGTTCAGGCAGAGGCCTTCGAGGCTGACGGATAGTAGGGGCTGCAGTGGATTCGGGGACGCTTCCGGGGCGCTGGGGAGTCTTCTGGGCAGAGGTGGCTGCGACAGGGTAGGAAGTAGCAGAGCCAGGCTTTGTGGTGTGGAGATGGCGCCAGGGGCCGGTGTGCCTCCTCGTACTCGCGTCATAGGTGGGAAGGAGCAGCTGGGGCAGAGTCACTGGGTGGAGGCTCCCGCCGTCCCTTTGCCGGGAAGTCCTGCCGGAGAGGGGCGAGTTGTGGTTGGCTGGGGAGCACCCCTGCTTTGGCCGCCGTGTTAAGCAAGGAGTCCCGTTTGACAGCCGTGCGGAAATCTGGAGGGGCTTCAGGGAGACTACCTGGGAGTGTGTGGTGTCTGGGTGGTGTCGGAGCCATGGGAGCAGGTGTTTGGGGCAAGGAGCAGGAGCTTTAGAGAGAGCAGTGACATGTTCTCAAGTGAGGAAGGCAGGCTGTGTGAGAGGGGGTGCCGTGGTTCCCACGGGTCCCCTCTGTCTTTCCTAAATATACGTAAAATGTATGTGGAAAAAGGTCTGGGTGTGGAGGGAAAGCAAGTCCGTCAAGCTTGTTAACAGTAGATCTCTCTAGAGTAATTGGCTCTAATTCCCGTATCAGGATCGCTCAGTGGTTTTTACTGTGTTCACAGTCGTGCAGCCTTCGAGAAATTTGCTCTGGGCCGTGCAGGGGGGCCTGGGGCCGTTGTTCGCTGAGCGTGCCCAGCTCCGCGCTGGGGCGCCACATAGCGTAGGCTTGCCCACCAAGTTCACATGTCCCCGAAGTTCAGGGGCTAGAAGGAGGTGACCTTTTATTTTCCACTTTATATGCTTCGTGGATGAAATATTACAAATCATTTTCATCCTTTAAGTTTAACTTAAATTACGACACTGGCCACCTTCAGACACTCAGTAGCCAGCCCCATGGAGGATAGTGGTGGCCAAGTCACACAGTGCAGATACGGAGCATTTCCTCACTGCAGAACATTCTATGTGGGGGGCAGCGCCGACCAGATATCGTCTGTCTACACACACACACACACACACACACACACACACACACACGCGTGCGCGCACGTGCGCAGTCTCCACGTGTGGCAGTGCCACTCCCCCACCTTGGCTTGGTTGTGGGTGGAGTTTGGGGAGGTCAGCTGCTGATGCTAGGCACCTGCCTGCCCTCAGGAGTGAAGGCAGACCCTTCAGCCTTGTGCTTCCTAGACGCCGTGTAGGAGGAGCGCCCCCCCTGCCCCCCGCTCTTAAATGCAGCAGCATGCTCAGGAACGGGTGCAGAGCTTGGGAACCCGTAAAGGAGGGAGGAGAAGGAATCAGCCAGGAGTCTCTGGCTAGACGTGTGGCCATAGCCACAGTTTCGTTATTTCCTTCTGTTTACAAGTCTTCGTTCACCGTGGTTGAGCTCGTATTACGAGCTCACTATGAGATGCAGTGTTTTTCGTTTCTGGTTATTTCAAAGAAACCGTGAAATGAACGTTCATTGCCAGTAATAAGAAGAAATCAGAAGCACGTGGGGTCAAAAGTGAAAGATGCTTCAGCTCTCTCTCCCGAATCTCATTCCCAGAAAACAGAGGGACTGTTTTCTGTCTGTCTTCAAAGCCTTTTCTTTGCATTTTATAAACATCTGTATGACGTGGCGTCTTGTTTTCACTTCATGAGCATCTGCCCACATCACTAAATCGTGCTGTGAACCCCATTTTCAGTGGCTGCATCCTGGGTGGGGATACCCTTGTTGGCCGCTCCGTTCCCTGCGGTTGGGCTTTCTGTGGGGACTGTCCTGGGGAGGGTAGGAAGGGACGGGCTGCACATCGTCACCCATCACCACTGGGGGGTGGTTCACCAGTGAAGGGCGCACAGGGGGGTTGGAATTGGCGCCGTGAGGCCCTTCCCGACATGAACCCTCGGTTCTTCCCTGCCACAGAGGACTACGGGCACTACGAAGAGCTGCCGGGGGAGCCTGGGGAGCACCTCTTCCCCGAGCACCCTCTGGAGCCCGACAGCTTCTCTGAGGGAGGGCCCCCAGGCCGGCCGAAGCCGGGCGCCGGTGTCCCCGACTTCCTGCCCTCAGCCCAGAGGGCCCTGTACCTGAGGATCCAGCAGAAGCAGCAGGAGGAGGAGGAGAGAGCGAGGAGGCTGGCTGAGAGCAGCAAGCAGGACCGGGAGAATGAGGAAGGCATGTGTCCTCCCCAGGGGCAGGGGCTTCCCCTGACAGGCACAGGCCCCCCAGGCCACTGTGCAGTGGAGAGGTGGGGAATGCCTAGGTGGGGTTTTGTGTTGGAAAGGAGCCTGTGGCCAGGGAGGACCCTTGCCCAGGACCATGAAGCCAGGCTGGGGCTGCTGCATTGCTTGTCCCTGAGAAAATTCGAAGTCAGGGCTGCCCTTCGGTGTCTTTGGGGGTCAAGAGAGACCCTGATCCCATAGAGGAGGGAGGTGGGCTGGTCCCTGGAGGAGACAGCAGCCAGCAGGATTTCCCTTCTGAGCCCTTACAGAGGAGGCTCAAAGGAGATGCTCACAGCTCCCCTTTCCCTAGACCATGTTCTCAGGAAGTCAGCAGATGACAGCTAGTCGCTGACATAAACCAGTAATAACAGTCCCAGCTGCCAGGTCGCTTGGTGCCACACAGTGGATCTGATGGCATCCAGCCCAGGAGGAAATGGGGCGGACAAATGGTGTCTAGAACCAGGAGCCGGAGGCCACGGGTGGCCCTTGTAGGAGCCCTGGAGCAGGTGGGGACAGCGCCCTCCCTTGGTGGCTCCGGTTTCACCTGCCTAGAAGGTTGGACTCCGGCCAGTTTGTGAGCCAGTTTCTGAGTTGGCCCACCCGGCCCCGCCTCTTCCCAGCCGGTGACTGCCCTTCCCCTCCCCCTTCCCCGGGACATGGTAACGCTGCGAGGGGCCTGGGGGCCAGTGTCTGGGAACCCCGAGCGCAGTGAGAGTGGAGTTCAGTGGTAGCTGCTCCCAGGTGCCCAGAGCTGGGCCTGCCAGTGGTGGGACCGCAGGCCACGAGGGGTGAGGACGAGGTGGCAGAGCCCTGGGCTAGGACCCTGAGCTCAGTCCCTGCTCTGCCCCCATCTCATGGTGCTGTCCACACCTCCGCTTTCTCGTCTGTCAAACGGGCATGATAACAACACTGCCTCCCGGGTGGTCGTGAGAGTAAGACAAAGCACTTAGAGCAGTGCTGGCACACGGGGAAAGGTCTAGAAACATTAGCCGGTGACCTGCCAGGCCCGGCGGCTCAGCCCACCTGAGCTCAGTGGCCGTTCATGGCAGCCCACGGAGGGAGGGGAAACAGGTTCTCCAAGGTAAGAGGCAGAGGAGCCATTCACCCAGCGGGCTACTCTGGGGGTCCAAGAGGGCTGGTGGCAGATGGTCACTCATGTTCCTCTGCCTCTCTGTTCTTTCTTAGGTGACACTGGAAACTGGTACTCGAGTGATGAAGATGAGGGTGGGAACAGCGTCACTTCCATCCTTAAGACCTTGAGACAGCAGACGTCTAGCAGACCCCAGGCTTCCGTCGGGGACCTGAGCAACAGTGGGCTGGGGGATCCCCGCCTCCAAAAAGGACACCCCACAGGAGGCCGGCTGGCTGACCCTCGCCTCAGCCGGGACCCCAGACTCACCCGCCACGCCGAGGCTTCCAGCGGGTCTGGCCCAGGAGATACAGGGCCCTCCGACCCTCGGCTGGCCCGCTCCCTGCCCACCGCCAAACCCGAAGGCAGCCTTCATTCCAGCCCTGCAGGCCCCAGCAGCTCCAAGGGGTCTGGACCACCCCCTACAGAAGAGGAGGAAGGGGAGCGGGCCCTGCGGGAGAAGGCCATGACCATTCCCCTGGACCCTCTCCCTGGGCACCCGCTGCGGGACCCGAGATCACAGCTGCAGCAGTTCAGCCACATCAAGAAAGATGTGACCCTGAGCAAGCCGAGCTTTGCCCGCACCGTGCTCTGGAACCCCGAGGACCTGATCCCCCTGCCCATCCCCAAGCAGGACGCGGTGCCCCCTGTCCCTGCAGCCCTGCAGTCCATGCCCACCCTGGATCCCAGGCTGCACCGTGCCACTGCCACAGGGCCCCCCAACCCCCGACAGCGCCTGGGCACCTCCACAGAGCCCGGCGCATCTGGCTCCAACCTGCCTGACTTTGAGCTCCTCTCTCGCATCCTTAAGACAGTCAATGCCACGGGCCCCTCAGCGGCCCCTGGCTCCAGCGACAAGCCCAGTGACCCCCGGGTGCGGAAGGCACCTACCGACCCTCGGCTTCAGAAACCAGCAGACTCCGCTTCCTCCTCCCGGGCTGCCAAGCCTGGCCCCACCGAAGCATCCTCTCCAGCCGGCAGCCCCAGCGGGGAGTCCTCCCCACCAGCCACCGCCCCCTATGACCCCCGAGTACTGGCTGCCGGCGGGCTGGGCCAAGGCAGCGGAAGTGGGCAGAGCAGCGTGCTGAGTGGCATCAGCCTCTATGACCCCAGGACTCCCAACGCAGGTGGCAAAACTGCAGAGCCGGCTGCCGACGCAGGAGCCCAGCCCAAGGGCCCCGAGGGCAATGGCAAGAGCTCAGTCGCCAAGGCCAAGGAGCCCCCATTCATCCGCAAGTCCGCCCTGGAACAGCCGGAATCCGCGAAATCCTCTGCGGATGGGGGTGCTGCCACAGCCACGGACAGATACAACAGTTATAACCGGCCCCGGCCCAAGGCCACAGCGGCCCCCACCGCTACCCCAGGCGCCCCGCCGCCAGAGGGCACCCCGCCCCAGCCTGGCGTGCACAACCTGCCAGTGCCCACCCTCTTTGGGACTGTGAAACAGACGCCCAAGACGGGCTCTGGGAGCCCATTTGCTGGCAACAGCCCAGCCCGCGAGGGCGAGCAGGACGCGGGGTCCCTGAAAGATGTTTTTAAAGGTTTTGACCCCACTGCCTCCCCCTTTTGCCAGTAGTGTTAAGCTGGAGTCAAGCGCTCCCTGCACCCCACCCTCCCCAGGGCAATATTTAAGGGCAGCAACCAGAGTTGGGAACTTGGGGGGAGGGGGGCTCTGGGTTTTTTTTTTTTCCCTTTTGTTTTTTCTCTCCATGTGTCTCTCTCTCTCTCTCTCCTCTTTCTCTTTTTCTCTCTTTTTTAATAGTACTTTCGTTACAACATATAAATTGTATATAACCATTTTCAGTCCATTCTGGTCAGTGCTGCAGGGCTCCCAGGCTCCCACCAAGAAAACCTGCACGTGAACAGTTTCAAGTCCCCTGGGCCTCAGCCCTAGCTGGCACTTCCTCTGTCCAGGCTCAGTTCAGGGACTCTCTAAAGGCTGGAGCCCCAGTCTGGTGGCTGGGGGTCCGGTGGGTTTTCTGGGCAAAGCTCGGCCCCTCCTCCGCCCCCTGCCCACCCCCGAGGACAAAGGGAACAGTAGGTGTCCGAAGGCACTGAATGCTGCTCACCCCACATGAGCGAGGAGAGATGAAGCCGAGACAGTGGTCAGGCCCTGCATGGGAGCAGGTCCAGGTGTTTCTAGAACCCCATCCCTTCTGCAGGGGGCAGGCCCTGACGACCTGCTTCAGAGACCGAAGGAAGGAGACAATTTGAGAGAAAGGCAGAGAGCCCTCGGAAGCTGCCTGGCCCAGAAGAAGCAGAGCCCCATCTGCTCCTGTCTCCGGATTCGCACGCCGGCCTCCCTGCCGCCCTCCGTCCAGAGTTCGTCCTCAGACCCACACCCTCTGCCCACATCAGAAGACTCCAGGGTGAGAGATGGACCTGGAGGTGGCAGGGCTGGTGTGGGGCGGCATACCCCAAAAGCTGCCTCCAGGAGGCAGCCTTCGCGTGTTTTCTGTCAGTATTAGCTCCTGTCCTGTCCTGTCCCGTCCCGCCGTGGCCATGCCTCCTCCCCTCAGGCTGGGGGTCTTTCCTGGTCCTCAGGAGCCAGAGCACCCAGTGTGCTGGCCCCAGCCCCTCAGGGGATAGCTCAAGGATCCGTGGCATGGCCACTCCACCAGGCTCCCGACGGAGCCCCAGGTGGTTCTTGGCAAAGTGTTTCTACTCTCCGCTTGCTTTGAACCTCCTTGCACCGTGTCTAACTTAGGGCCTATGGTTTTGGTGTGTGCGGTTTTTTTCTCAGCTGACAGGTGCATGGGTTCAGAGGTGTGTCACAGTATTGGATTTTGGGGGCTTGAGGAAAGGGCAGGAGACTAGCCAGGGCAGGGTGGGGGCTGTCGGGCCCTCTCCAGGAGAGGGCCCAGCAGGAACCCCGCTTGCAGGTGGAGGGTGCGGAACCAGAAACCTACATCGTGCTCCCCTCCTCCGGCTGAGCCGGGATGGGAGCAGAGACGTCTGCGCTGGGCTCCCCCACCTGCCCCAGGACCCTGGCTGAGATCCAGCCCTGTCCACAGAGCTCCGGAGGAGGCCCGTCCTGTGGTGGTGGCCTGGGGAGACCAGCCCGTGGCTCGGGGGTCCTTTCCACTCTTGTGTAAGCATGTGCTGGCCGTCTCTTGCCTTTTGCTTCTCATCCCATTCACCCCACCTGCCTTGCTTAAGGCCCCCACCTATTCCTTGCTAATAATGAGGAAACCTGATGACCCAGCCAAAGGGTTTCCCCTCCCACCTCCTTGGGGTGGGAGGTGAATGAGGCTCCTATACCAAACCCCTCTCCCCAGAGAAAAGAGAAAACAGTTATTGAGTTTGGGGCCAGAAGCTAGGGCGGGAGAAGGCAGCCCACAGGGTCAGTGCGCTGTGATCAGGTTGGTTTGGTTTGTCTCTGTCTTTTTTGTTTTTGTTGTTTTTAAACAATCATTAGTGAGATTTTTCTTCAGCCACCAGTGTTGGCCTTGAAGCAGAGGGCTGCAGCCCTTGGTGTTTGTAAAAATAAGTAAGAATACACAGTGTGGCTATGGGTTTGTTTTTTTTTTCCCCCCTCCCTCCTTTGAGAATTTTCTTTTGTAAAAGCAAAATTAAATACTTTTTTAAACCGAAATCTGTGGATGAAATAGAAGCTGGAACCCTCCTGTCGGAATATTCAGCCTAAGAACCTCATGGGACTATGAATTCCCCCGAAATTTTCATTTGCCATCAGGCCAAGCTTTTAAAAACAAAATGTTCTCTAACCAGGATTGTAACAAAAGTGTAAATACTACTTCAGAGTTGAGAGTTGATGGTGCAAATATGTATATAACGTACTGTATTTTTACAATGATCATCGCATGACTGTCCCAGCCCCCTTTTTGTACTCCTTATCTGTCTTCCAGAAATGTCACCTGCCCTTTCTCCTGTGGTCTCTTAATCCAATAATTGTATTACTGCCATTAAAGGATGCAGTTATTTTAAAACTCCTGCAGTCTTGCCTCTCTGTGCTGCCCCCAGCATCCCTCTCCCTGGGAATGACAAAACCTAGATCTGTTCTCTGGGTGGCTGGCCCCTGGGTGACATTCGTGATGACACTGGGGGATCAGGGCCTCCAAACAGCCTACGCTTAGCTGTTGGCACCTGCCTCCCACGGTTCCCGGGCCCCCGCTTTGGGCCAGTGTTAGCATTCAGAGTTAACAGTGGTGTGCTCCACGGCCCCACCCCTGCACAGCGCACGGAAGGGGCCAGTGGTGAACAAGCAGGGCAGTGGGCTGGCTGCTAGGGATGCGAAGAAACGGGAGCCCTGACCACTACAGACTGTGTCTCCTCAAAACGGATGTTAACACACCTATCCCCCCCCCCCCCCCCTGTATTAGGAGGTGAGGCCTCTGGGAGGTTGGGAGGTAGTGAGGTCAGAGGGATGGAGCCCTTCCACGGGTTGCCCGGCTAAGCTGGTGAGCTCTAAATTGATGTCAATGTTTCAGGGTGTAGTCTTTGAATTTCTTCCCATTCATCCGTATTGAGTGAGGATGATTTCACCTGCAATTCAAAACTCCCAACTCAGCTGGCTTAAACAGGAGTCCCGCAGCTTGGGAAGGTCAACAGGGCGGTTCTGGGTTGGTCAAGTTGGACTGTAAAGTCACACGGGTTTGGGCCGGCTTTCATACTGCTGGCTATCCCCTCATGATTGCAAGATGGTGAGAGCACCTGGCAGCCTCCGCCTCGCCTGGCCAAGTGCAGAAGCAGGTAAGGAACACCTCCTATATTTACTCATGAGCGAGGGAACACTTCCTGGAAACTCCTCAGCATACTTTCCTGTCTGATCTCATCAGCTCTCCCTGTGTTGGTTGCTGGCAAGAGGGTCACTGAAGTCTCATGTTCCGTGCTTAGACTAATCAAAGATCCAGCATCCTGAAGCCGAGGATGCAAACACCTGCATGGCTCGCAATGTGGGGGAGGCCCGGGGGTTGAGAGCCACAGTGATGATTCGGCTAGCAGGTGTGTGGTGGGTGGCCCTGGGTTCCAGCAGAGGCGACCAGCTGGCTGGGGCAGGGACCTGTGAGGGGAAAGCTGGCACCTGGACCCGGGAGGTTGGCAGGTCCTGGAGAGTCTCGAAGGCATTGCCACAGACACAGGCAGGGAAGAGCCTGAAGAGTTTGTGTTCAAGTAAGGACCAGACCCGGGGCCCCTGGGTGGCTCAGTCATTAAGCGTCTCCCGGGCTCCTGGGATCGAGCCCCGCATCAGGCTCCCTGCTCAGCGGGGAGTCTACTTCTCCCTCTGCCTCTGCCTGTCGCTCTACCTACTTCAGCTCTCTCTCTTTCTCTCAAAAAAATAAATCTTTAAAAAAAAAAAAAAAAAGTAAGGACCAGACTGGAGGCTAGAACCTTCCTCCCAGGGCTGACAGGGAACAGGGGTCGGAGAGGATGGCTGAGCAGCCCTGTGGAGGGCAGTTCCCTTGCTGAGATGGCACTGGGAAGCACGAGGTGGTCCGGGAACTGGCCAAAAACAGCTCTGGACTGGGTCTGTGGGTGGAGGATGTGGGGGCCCCTGCAGAGAGCTGGATGATGTCTCAAGATGTCATGGAGCCCTGAGTGTCACTGTTGGAGGAAAGAAACGGAGCCTGAGGACAGAAGGGGCCAGAGAGCATTGGCTGGTGAGTGAGGCCAAGAGCCATGTTGAGAGCCTTGCACTTTCAAAGATGACTGGGGTGTCGGATTGGCACCCGTGCCAGTGTCCTCGGGCACCTGACCCGACCCACTCCCTAGATTGTGCAGGTGTGAACATGTGACCGTACTTTCTTTGTCAGATGTTTAGCCATCTGCCCATCCCTCTCCACCCATTAGAACACAGCCCCCCGGGGCACCTGGGTGGCTCAGTCGTTAAGCATCTGCCTTCCGCTCAGGTCATGATCCCAGGGTCCTGGGATCGAGCCCCGCATCGGGCTCCCTGCTCCGCGGGAAGCCTGCTTCTCCCTCTCCTGCTCCCGCTCCCCCGGCTTGTGTTCCCTCTCTCGCTGTGTCTCTCTCTGTCAAATAAATGAATAAAATTAAAATAAATAAATAAATCCTTCTTTAAAAAAAAAACACACAGCCCCCCAAATTCTTCAGCATGTGTATCATTAACCAGAGTTGAATATTCACATTCCATTTTTTTTTTAAGGTGCATGAAATGCACAGAAATTCCATGTACTACACTCGTGGAGTTTTGAGAAATGCATCCATCTGTGTGCCCCAAACCCCAATGAATATAGAGAAGGTTCCCTTGGGTTCCCTCCCGGTCAGTCCTAGCACTGTACCCCTGGATGGGGGCACTGCAATTATTTACTCACTCACCCCCTGGGGCTGTTCTGGATAAAGCTGCTGAACACGTTTGCATGAGGCCTCGGTGTGAACACAGATGTTCATTTCTCTTGGGTCCTAGGGCAGATGAATGTTTGGTTGTATGAGAAACTGCCAAACTCTCTTCCAAATTGGTTGTACCATTTTTCATTTTCACCAGCAGTGAATGAGAGTTCTGGTTGCTCTGTATCCTTGCCAACACTTTCCCATATAGGTTTCTAATATACTAATATTGATCTATTTAATTGAGGTGAAATTCACATAACATAAAATTAACCATTTAAAAAAAAACAAAACTTTTTTTAAGTAGGCTCCAACACCCAGCATGGAGCCCAACACAGGACTTGAAGTCACAACCCTGAGATCAAGACCTGAGCTGTGAGATCAAGAGACAGATGCTTAACGAAGACTGAGCCACCC